TCAGCCTCATAAAAATAGTCATGAGGAAACATGTTGATATTGGAGTATGGAATAAGGCACTGGAAGATCAGTTTCATTAAAAAATAAATTAAAAATAAGAATAATAATCCAGGGAGAGCCAGTCTCTGGCTTCCTTAGTGTTTTCCTGCCCTGACTGGAAGGTCTCCTCCCTCACCCTGGTGTTGTGGGTCTGGTTCTCTTCAGGAACAAAGATGTCCCAACATTTCTGGCAAATCCCACCTTCCTGCCTTTGCCAAGTTAGGCAGTAACAGCCTTTCCTTGGCTATGAGGAGTTCCCTTTATTTTTTAAAAAAGCAAAACAATTCCAAGCAGCTCCTGTTAAGCAGAAGCAGGTGGGTGACAGCAGGCAGGGGGTGTAAAACCCTGGCAGTGCCCCAGCTCTGGGGGACCCCAGCTTTTCTCTGTGCCCCATCCTGACCTGGTTGCTGTTTCTCTGGCTGGGCCAGGGTTACAGAGTTCTTCCAAGGGCTCTGGAACTGATGAACCAGAGGTGTAACTGAGACTGAGTTTGACACCACTTGCATTAAATAGGGAGCTGAGCCAGTCTGATGTAAGGAGCCTCTGCCATGTCATATCTGGGCCCTACAGCAACCAAAGGCTTTTACAAGAATCCCAGCAGGATAAAGGGTTTGGAGGAGCTTTTCCAGCAGCCAGTGCCCTGCTGTGTCTGCCCACAAATGCGTTTTCCATCTCTATTTCCTGCAGCCGACTCCAGGCAGAATGGGATGGTTTCTTTTGAGACGATGGGGTGGGAAAGAGGAGATGTATTTCAATTTACAATTCTACAAGATTATTCTTTTCTGTTTTATTTTTGGAGTATGAAGGTAATCAAGGGAAGTGGGGTGCAGTGGGGAACCAGTGGAATCCATCAGGCAGCTAAGTTGGAGGATGCTTTTCTCTTTTCCCTTCTTTTCTTTTACCTGTTCCTACAGAACTATGTGAAGGATAATTTTAATGTGTGGGAGATGATGAGAGAGAGAGCAGTGGGAATATTCTAAGACCTTTTACACGTTTCTTTCACAGTCTGACTGCCCCTACTCAGAAAAAGTCCCAAGTATTAAAATACCAATGGACATCATGGAGCAGGAACCTTTCCTAAGTGATAGCAAACCTGCTGACAGTGAGTAGAACTGAGCTCTTGCATGCCTGCTTGACTCTGACTTGCACTACAAAAATATATCTGTGTCTATTTAGAGTAATTTTAAAAAATTTTAATCTTTCCTTTTACTTCAGAAGTATTCTCTTGTTCTTTTTTCCCCCCTCTCCTTTTTAATTTCCAGGCCCCTGCTTTATGACAGATTTTGCTTTTGTGAGCTTTTTTTTTTTCTTTGCTGGTTACAAAATGAATGTTGTTCCTTCTGGTGCCTCCAATTTAAGTGCTTTTCTCCAGCTCCTGACAGGTCTCCTGGCCACCCACTCTCTCTTCCTCTCCTCTCCCTTTCCCCTTTGGTGTTAACCTGCTGATGGTGGGATTTATTTTTTTTCCCCCGCTGAGCCTGGTGTTCTGGATTTGCAGCACTGTCCTTTCACTGTTTGTTCCCTTAGGTGCCAAGCAGTTGCAAAAAGCAGCATTTAACAGAGTAATTATTTGTTTGTGTCATTAAGCTGCGCAGGCAAGATCAGTTGGCCATTAACATATTTCCCTTCTTAGGTGGTTTGTGCTCTTCTTTTTGGTTTTAATTTCTGATGTTAACACCTGTAATTGTTGAATTGAATCTTTATTTTCAGTCATTCCCACTTCACATTTTCCTGTTTTAAGTGAGGAATCACAGCTGACCTTGGTGTTTTTGCCTTTGGGATGACTTTTTAACATCCTAAGGGTGTCATATGCCCTTTTCTTCTGAGGTGGGAGGAGAGAAGTACTAATTAGAGTAACAAATTAGTGCTACTGCCTGGCTAGTGCTTCCTAGGAGCAGGACCTAAACCCCCAGATCTTTAGGTCCTTAAATTATCCATAAGTCTTAAGATCTGGGAGCCAGTTTCCTTCCTTTCCTAGAGGCCTCAGGGAATGGTAAGCATTAGCCTGTGGCTTTTAGATACAGAAACACTCAGAGATTGGGATTATAAAATAAAACATCGGAAAGGAGGCATTTTCTTGGCTATTTGGATATTCACAATGTTTTACAGATGTCAGCACATCATCCAAAATCAGCCACAGGCAACCTCATATCCTCCTCATTCCATGTTTTTAGTACATTCCTGATACTAAAAACAAACTGCATCCTAAATATTGTTACTCGGGATTTTAGGATCAGATGCCTTTTTTCCAACATTTTAAGGGCTAAAATAGTTAATGAAAAGGTAGTTGGCATCAACCTGATTCCTGGGATGCCCTTGGAGATGGAACAGAGAAAATCAGCCATGGGCTGATCTGTCGTTGGTCTGTGTATTTATATGTTTTTATAATCCAGTATCTTATTTGCTGGTTTCTAATGAAAAACAATGCAAAATAAAAATCAAAATGCATCAGGCCACTGGAATAACAAAAAAACAAAAAAACAAAAAAACAAAAAAGCACAAAAAAAAGCTGGAATCCAGCACCACTGTGGGATTGTGCTTGAGTGTAGCTCTGCGATCCAGAGCACATTCCTGCTAGTACCATAAGAGCAGCTTTCCTGCAGCCAGAGCAGGAACAGCACTGTTAATCCCAGAGCACATGGCTCCCACAGGGCCAGCAGAGAGAAGACACCCTGCTCCTGCCAGGGACCCGGGTGTGACAGGGGGAGCTCGGGGTAACCAAGGTGGGAGGGCCCCAGGGAAGTGTCAGGCCCGAAATGGGGAGAACTCCTGGGGAGCTGTGCCTGTAAATCCACCTGGCAGCTAACAGGGAAAGAGCTTGGCCCATGGATGTGGGTTGGAGCAGCTGAGCAGTGACACAGAGGCTTTCTTCCCCCAGGAGAAAAATCACCGACATTCCTTGAACGCCACACATCGTGCTGATACAATTCCCTTCCTTCAATCACACGCCATGCCAAGGTAAGCACCCACAAATGCGCTTTGGAATGATTCCCAAAAATGCACCTCTGCCCCCCCTCAGAACACAGCAGATTTCCTACAGGGAAATGTGCTACAGAATGTTCCTACAGAACATTCCCTACACTGGGTTGCTGTTTCCCAAGGTGATCATGAACAAGTTGATTCCATAGTTATTCCAGCCCCTGTCAGTGCTTGGGATGGGGAGTGGAGAACCTGTGGGAGACCTGAAGGCTCCACTGGCCTCCTGGCTGCTGCACTAAGGACTGGTTTGGGAATGAAGAGCAGGAGAAAGACGTGGAGCTACTGGGAGGAGCCCAGAGGATTATTGCTAAGGGGAAATAATCCATTTTTCCATAAAATTTGTGGTGGAAATATAGTAAATAATTAAAGTGCAGCAAGTAATAATTGCTGAGAGTCCAGTCCCTTGGGGCCAGCTTCGGCCTCCCAGCAGCAGGACTGTGATGTGGAGCAAAGCAAGTTTATTCCTCTGAAATGTCAAAGATGTGTCTGTGCTTGCAGGTGTCAGACAGGCACTGAAATTCTTCCCCGTGGCGATGCCCGGATTATTTCAATGGCAGTTGAGGGGTATTGTCACAGCCTGGGGTGAAGCACCAGGATGCCCCATCCCTGGAAGTGTCTAAGTTGGATGGGTCTTGGAAAAACCTGGTCTAGTGGAAGGTGGCCCCTGTCCATGGATGAGCTTTAATGTCCCTTCCAACCCAAACATTTTGGGATTCTATGAGGCACAAGTGCTGGACACTTGGAGCTCTGCGGTCAGTGAAATTGGGTGGGTTTGCCCGCTGCTGTGAGCAATGTTCAGACGATCTGTGTGTGGGCCTTACCTCCAGTCTGACTGTGTATTCCCAAAGCCCAGCATTCGTGCTGCTCTGACCTTGTCTGTCTTCTTCTTTGCAGCCCTCCACGAACTCCAGTAAAAGTTGTGCCTCAAATTAGAATAGAACTTGAGCCTGAAGACAATGGTTATTTCTGGAGGAGCAAGGGAACAGAAACTACTTTGTAATTTGTCTGTCTGTTTGATCTTTTACGAATTCATTTTGTCACTAGCCAAATGTTAAGAAGCTCCCTGCTCCCACGGCGAAAGTGATGGAGCCCTCGCGCTGCCCGGGCCTCGGAGCGCCTCCTGCTCGGCTCCAGGCTCAGCGAGGGCAGGAACGTTCTGGAACCGCGTTCCCGATTCCCGTCAGCCCTGTGGGAATGCCAGAGGCGCTGGCTCTTGTGAGCTGCCCTTCGTCTGGCAGAACAGAGCTGACTTCCAGGGTAATTCCATGTCTGCTCCCGCTGCTCCGAGATGCTGGAACGTGCTGCTAACCCTCACGTGCTCTCATCTGTAGATAAAAGAGAAGGTACTTCACTCCCAGCACAGACAGACCATTGCCATCGCTGTAGCATGTTTGGAAATGTCCCTTTCCTATGCAATTTTTTTTAAAGAAACACTTTAATGGACTTAATCCGTCAGGTACATGGAAGAGTGTTATTTTCCTAGATTATTTTGTTTAAATTATGGGGGCCTAACCTATGACTTTTTTTTTTTGACAATTTTTTTAACCTTTTTTTAATTACTGTAAAGAAAAATGAATTTTTTTCCTGCAGCAGGAAACATATAGTTATGAGTAGTTCTACCTCTTATTTCTAGATGCCAGGCTTTCTGTAAAAAAATGTATTGTACCATATATAATGTGATTTTTACAAAAAACAAACCCACGACATCACACCACAATCTCCAGGACGTGGCATAGGGCTGGATCAGTTCAATTAACACCTTCTGCTCCGAAGCATCTGTTTTCCTTAGGGTTAAGTTGGTTTTTGGACTTTTTTTTTGATGAGCAATCCCTGCTGTCAAAGAGACTTAAATCTCTTGTGATCTTAGAAGAGTCTAAATGGACAGAATAGATGTGGCTGGTTAAATCCCTGTTGCTGATGGCTGACGTGGGATCGCTCCATGATTTTCCTGGAACACCGGTGTGTGTGTGGGTGTGGGTGGGTGTGCATTGAGAAGATCCAAGGTGTACCTTGGGTCTGTACCTCATCAGGCACAGTGGATGAGGAGGAAGATGAAGGTGGCCTGCTGGGAAGTTTATCCTGATACTTGGATTCACAAACATCCGCATCCTCCTGCATCCCACCCTGTGTACCATCATCTCCAGAATTTACCCTAAACCTTGGCTACTCAGCCCCACACCCAGCAATGCAGCAAGGCTAAGCAGGCCAGGCATGGGCATCCCAGGATTTTGGGGTGGAACCAAGCGAGTGGACATCAAATCAGGAGAGAGGTTTTTCTCTCTGTAGCATGTTCATACCATTATGTGCATCTAAAGGCGTGTTTGGGAAACTGGGCTTCACCAGGATGTAGGGAAACACACTGAAAGCTTCGTCCAAAAATAAAAAACAGAACAAGAAGAAAAAGCACCCCAGCTCTCAAGGCGAATTCCCTTATGGAGACAATCCCAGCACAGAGGATGGGCATGTGCTGCCTCTTGGTCCTTGTGAAACCAAAGTCTGGGTTGGTGAAGTCAAGAGGATTTTCTGATGGTGCTGAGACCTTAAATGCCAAATTTTAATATCTGCTCCCACACAGGAGCCACCACCTCTGTACAGCCCCTGCTTGCTCTTGAGGGGTCTCCCCTTCAGTTTCCATGAAATCTGTGTTGAGTAACCCAGGAACCCGGCTGAAACCTGCTCTGAAAATGCTGGGGAGACTTGGGAAAGGCCTGAAGAGGAGCAGCTCTGGGATCCCTTCTGCTGCTGGAGGACAGGTAACTTGGGAGGCGTGATGACAGCTTTAGCCAGTGCTCTCCATCCCGTGGTGAACAGCACTCCTGGCACCCAGTGGGGACACAGCTGGAGTGTTGCCTCTGGAGCACACAGGAGCCACCTGTGGGACTGCTGCACATCCTGCCCAGACCGTGGACGTGTAGCAATCCCAGAGGAGAGGAGAGGTGCCATCAGGTGCATTGCAGGGGCTGTCCCAGTCAGTTCCGTGGGCACAGCTTCCATCCACTGGTGCAGAGCACCAGGTGCCTGGTGACCTGTCTCCCCAAAAATGAGGGTTTTGCTACCCCTCCCGGAGCTGATGCACCTTCGTATCTGTATTTGAATCAAGTCGCACTTTCAGATACTTTTATTCTTGTTTTTAATTCTCGTAAGTCCCTGTTTTCTTTGGAGGAGAGAGCAAGGACTTAGGATGAAATGAAGTGGATCAGATGGTGGAACTAAAAGGAAAAAAACAGAAAACATTTCAAACATATTAAAGTGATTTTTTTTTCCAGTAATATAAAAAATGAAATTCCTTATAACATTATAGTATTTTACAGTTTTATGAAGCTTTCTATTGTGACTTTTATGGAATCAAAAGATGAAAATGATGAGATATTTTAGCATTTATATTTTTCAAAATTAAATAAATGTATACTGAAAATAAAGTAACTTTATGCATTTATGGGAGAGTTCGTGTCCGTTTTCCCTCTTTATGTGCAAAGTCTTGTCTGACTGAATCGAGATCCCAGAATCAGTTTGCTGATAAAAGGGACTCCCTGACACCCTGGTGTTGGACCCATGAAGCATATTTTGGGATACCGGGGGGAGCGGTTGGATCTGCAGAGTGGCCAGAAGGTCTGGGGATGGTACAGCATCTCTGTCTAACTCCTGTCACCTGCGCACAGTGAGGATGAGGCAGGCCAGTGTGCCTGGGCTTCTCCATAAAACCTCTGGTTTCTGGGCTGAAACTTGCCATGAACAAATTTGCTTTCTGAACGTGTTCCTTGGCCAGGAATAACCATTGGAGCCTCTCTGGCTCCAGCAGCGTTATGAGTGCACATGCCTGTGTGTCCATCCCACTGGCCCCTGCCCTCTGGGCCCCTGGATCCCTCCTTGCACACCTCTCCCAGGGCAGCACTCGGAGGTGAAGGCACCTTGGCAGAGTGCTGGGCTGCAGGCTCCTCTTGGGATCTGTGCAGCCCCTGGGATTGGTACCCCAGAGGGAACTGAAGATCATCTCAATCACCAAACTAAAGGGAGAATGAAGGGTCAGGAACTGGTCGGGATCAATCTTAGGGGTCGTTTCCAATCAAAATGGTTTTATTCTGGGTTTGTAACCTGCACAAAGGCAGTACCACTCACCTGGTGGCATGGAGAGCCACCTCCTTGCCACTCAGCTCCTTGTTTGTCAGCTCTGGTGCCTCTGGAAACTTTGGAGCAAGTACTCTTGGTAGCTCCCAGGGGACGGGGCACGTAGATGATCCCAGCGGTCTGACAGGTCTCACCTATTTCAAGAAGCAGGCAATGGGCATGGGAAAAATGCAGCAGGTGGAGACGATGGAGAGGAAAGTCCTGGTGGCGGCCCGGAGCGGCTCCTCCCGCTCACGGCCATCCAGCCCCGCTGGTTCCACGGCGGCGCGACGGGGCCGCGGCCCTGGGAAGGGAGGGAGAGCCGCGCGATGCTCCGCCCCGGCGGCGCGGTGGTCTCGGGGCGGCGGAGGGGGAAGCCCCGGGAAGAGAGCGCGCTCCGGGAATCGGGGCCGGCCTTATCTGGGGCCTACCTACACGGGACGCTGCGGCGGGGCCGCGACCGGGGCCGAGCACTGCTGGGGTCTGCCGGGGGGTCCCGGGCGGTGCCGCCTCTCCCCCGCCGGGCCCGGGATCGGTTCCGGCCCGGGATGGCCGTGGGCGGCGCTGCCGGGGCGGGATCGGGATCGCGGCGGTTCCCGGGGCGGACCCGGAGCCGCCGTGAGGGCCCGGGACCCGCAGGGCGCCGCCTGGCGGACACGGAGCGCGGTGCGCGCGCGGCGCCCCCGCGTGGCCGCGGGACAGCGGTGCGGGGGCGGGGCCAGGGAGGGGCGGGGCGGGCACAGGTGTGAGGGGCGGGGCCACAGCGCGCGTGCGCAGCTCGGGGCCGCACAGGTGTGAGGGGCGGGGCCGGCACAGGTGCGCGGGGCTCCAGAGCGCCTGCGCGGGGCGGGGCCGAGGGCATTTAAACCCCGGAAACCGCCTCAGGCGCCATTTGCTCGGCAGCGCTTGGAGGTGCCGGGTGCGGCCGGTGCGGGCTCCCCAGGCGGGGCTCGGGTGAGGTTCCCTCTGTCCCTCTTTTCTCCTCCTCCTACCCCTTACCCCTCTCCTCCCTAGATCCCCATCCTCTCCTCTCCTCTCCCCTCCCCTCCGTCCTCTCCTTCCCCCTCCTGTCGCTGTTCTCCAGCCCGACCCCCCTCTAATCCCCCTCCAGCTCTCCTCCCCATACCTCCCTCCCGCTGTACCCCGCTGCTCCCCTACCAACCCTGACTCCTGCCTCTGTTCTTCCTTCTCGTTCTCCCTCCATCCTCCCTGTCCATCCCGACCCTGCCTCCCCTTACGCTCCCCTGCTGCTCCCCTGTGCCCCCTCTTCCCCTCCTTGTCCCTCTTAGCCCCCCTTATTCCCGCTATCTCTGTTTTCTGGCTTCTCTCTACCTTATCCCCCGTCTCTCCTTTATCCTCCTCTCTGTGTCCCGTGTTCCCCCCTCTGTGTCCCGCAGCCGCGGGGTTCGGGGCGCCGCACAATAAAGCCCCGAGGGCCGGAGCCGGCGCCCCTGTCTCGGTTGAAAAGGGTCGGGACCCGCTGTGGGTCCCCCCTTGCAGATGCCAACACTGCCCCACACTGCCGGGTTCGGCTGTCCCTGCATCACACTGGGGTCAGGGCGGGCCCCTCCTCAGGAGGGGTCCTGGGCTGGGCTGGGTTAGCGAGGGGGGGAGTGGGGGTTAGGGGGGGCCCCTCATTAGGAGGGGCCCGGGGGAGGGGGGTGGGGGGGCAGGGGGAGGGAGGGAGGGGGGGTTGGGGCGGGCCCCCTCCGGAGGGGGGGGTCCGGGGTGGGAGGGGCTGGGGGGGGTCAGCCCCCCTTAGCCCCTCCCAGCCCGGACCCTCCCCTCCGGACGGGGGCCCCGGGGGGGGTGGGGTGGGGGGGGGAGGGGGGGGGTGGGGGGGGAGGTGGGGGGGTGGGGGGGGGTGGGGTGGGGTGGGGGGGGGTGGGGTGGGGGGGGTGGGGTGGGGTGGGGGGGTGGGGTGGGGGGGGGTGGGGTGGGGGGGGTGGGGGGGTGGGGGGGGGTGGGGGGGGGTGGGTGGGGGGGGTGGGTGGGGGGGGGGTGGGTGGGGGTCAGGAAGGAGGGAGATGCTGTTGTTGCGCACAAATGTGTAATCGCGGTTCAGAGTGACGTGACCCCCTCTGCTACCCCCCCCCCCACCCACCCCCCCCCCACCCACCCCCCCCCACCCACCCCCCCCCCCCCCACCCCCCCCCCACCCACCCCCCCCCACCCACCCCCCCCCCACCCACCCCCCCCACCCACCCCCCCCACCCCCCCCCACCCCCGGGGCCCCGTCCGGAGGGGAGGGTCCGGGCTGGGAGGGGCTAAGGGGGGCTGACCCCCCCAGCCCCTCCCACCCCGGACCCCCCCCTCCGGAGGGGGCCCTCCCGCCCACCCCGCCCCTCCCCTCCCCTCCCTCCCCCGCCCCCCCACCTCCCCACCCCTCCCCCGGACCCCTCCTAACCCCCCCTCGCTAACCCAGCCCAGCCCAGGACCCCTCCTGAGGAGGGGCCCGCCCTGACCCCAGTGTGATGCAGGGACAGCCGAACCCGGCAGTGTGGGGCAGTGTTGGCATCTGCAAGGGGGGACCCACAGCGGGTCCCGACCCTTTTCAACCGAGACAGGGGCGCCGGCTCCGGCCCTCGGGGCTTTATTGTGCGGCGCCCCGAACCCCGCGGCTGCGGGACACAGAGGGGGGACAAGGGACACAGAGGGGGGACAAGGAGAGACGGGGGGACAAGGGAGAAAGACAGAGGGATAAGCGAGAGAGAGAGGAGGATAAAGGAGACAGGGGGATAAGGGAGAGTGACGGGGGATAAAGGAGAGGCAGGATAAGGGAGAGATAGCGGGAATAAGGGGGGATAAGGGGGACAGGGAGCTGAAATGGGGGCACAGGGGAGCAGCAGGGGAGCGTAAGGGGAGGCAGGGTCGGGATGGACAGGGAGGATGGAGGGAGAACGAGAAGGAAGAACAGAGGCAGGAGTCAGGGTTGGTAGGGGAGCAGCGGGGTACAGCGGGAGGGGGATTAGAGGGGGGTCGAGCTGGAGAACAGTGAGAGGAGGGGGAAGGAGATGACAGAAGGGAGAGCAAGGGAGGCGAGGGGAAGACAGAGGAGAGGGAGAGGGAGAGGGAGAGGGAGAGGGAGAGGGAGAGGAGAGGAGAGGAGAGGAGAGGAGAGGAGAGGAGAGGAGAGGAGAGGAGAGGAGAGGAGAGGAGAGGAGATGAGCAGGGAGAGGAGGGAATGGAGATCTAGGGAGGAGAGGGGTAAGGGGTAGGAGGAGGAGAAAAGAGGGACAGAGAGACCCTCACCCGAGCCCCGCCTGGGGAGCCCGCACCGGCCGCACCCGGCACCTCCAAGCGCTGCCGAGCAAATGGCGCCTGAGGCGGTTTCCGGGGTTTAAATGCCCTCGGCCCCGCCCCGCGCAGGCGCACTGGAGCCCCGCGCACCTGTGCCGGCCCCGCCCCTCACACCTGTGCCGGCCCCGAGCTGCGCACGCGCGCTGTGGCCCCGCCCCTCACACCTGTGCCCGCCCCTCCCCGGCCCCGCCCCCGCACCGCTGTCCCGCGGCCACGCGGGGGCGCCGCGCGCGCACCGCGCTCCGTGTCCGCCAGGCGGCGCCCTGCGGGTCCCGGGCCCTCACGGCGGCTCCGGGTCCGCCCCGGGAACCGCCGCGATCCCGCCCCGGCAGCGCCGCCCGCGGCCATCCCGGGCCGGAACCGATCCCGGGCCCGACGGGGGAGAGGCGGCACCGCCCGGGACCCCCCGGCAGACCCCAGCAGTGCTCGGCCCTACCCCACCGTCGGCCCCCTCACAGCGCCCCGTAACACGCCCTCCGTGGCCCCGCCCCCCGTGCCGCTGTCCCGGAGCCCCGCTCGGCTCTGTGCGAGCCCCGGCCCGGGGGCTGCTCCCGGCGGGGCCGTGACCGAGGCCGGGGGTGTGAGACCGAGTCCTGCCGGTGTCCGCTCGCGGAGCGGGGCTGCCTCTCCCCCGGCCGGCGGGTTGCGGGTCTCGGGGACGGCGGACCAGGGCCGGACTGGGGCTGAGACAGGGCTGCGGACTGGGCAAACCCAGCCTGGACTCGGTGCCCCCTCCTGCTACGATGCCGGGACGAAGTCGGCCGAAAGCGAGTGATGGAGCCCACGCCCGGAGCCGGGATGGGGCTTTCGGGTCCTGCCAGGTTCCGCCGAGGCATCCCGGGCGGTGTCGCCTCTCCCTCATCGGGAGGCTCGAAGCGGCATCGGGCCGGGATCGGTACCGGCCCGGGATGGCCGCGGGCACGGTCCCGCTCCGCTTGCGGGGAGCCGGGGCCGTGCCGGGGCCCGGGAGAACGGCGGCAGCGGTATTTCCCGGGTGCCCCCGACGTTCCGGAGCCCAGAGCGTGCCGTGGGTCCAGGCAGGGCTGATCCCCGCTCCGCCTTCAGCGGTTCCTGCCCTTCGTGCCTTTGGAACTTAGGGAGTTTCGAACAGTGACTTTCTCCCTGCCACCATAAGGCGCAGCCCATCTGACAGCTGCCAGGTGAAATCTGCTGCTCTCCTTCCTCTCCCTCAATTTCTCTGCACATCACACTCTCCATTGGCAAAGCTTCTGTTTTTAAAATTCCCATTACAATACTTAATCTTTCTTTCCAGTCGGGGAAGCTCCTGCCTGGGATGGAAATGGCTGAAGAAGAGGAAACTTAAAAATGCCAGAACCAGATGCTGCCATATGAATCAAAGCAGGGACAGCCTCGGGATGTCCAAGGTGTGTTTTATTGTCACATGTGAAACCTCTGCTGATGGCCAGTGCCACCTTTATTTCCCCCGAGGGACCCCACAGGGCCACCAGGATGTTGCCAGAATTGTATCTTTGGGGTCCCATCCCCTCACAGCATTCAGTGGCTCCATCCTGGGGAGCACTTCTTTCAGGGGAGCAGCAATTGCACATGAAACTTCGATGACCACTGAGAAATAAGAGAGAGACCTGTGATAAAAAACCTTTTCTTAAAGAATAAGAGCAACAATTTATCCACAGCGCTTGAGCAGCTTCAATATCCATATGACACAGCATCTAATTCCATCTCCTGATCTGATCTTGGCAAAAGGAAGAGTCACCTGCCCTCAGTGTAAATATTTAGTACACAAAATACTGTCAAGAAACCCACTTTTAATAAATATCTGTAGCTCTCACTCCTATACACAAGTACTTTACAGCGCCGTGCCGGAAGGAGCGCGGCCGGCTGGGCTGGGACAAGGTGAGGATGGACATAAATTAGTTATTGCAGTCGGATGCATGGTGGGCGGGGAGGTTTGGAGTTGATCCATGCCGGAAATATAAGTATCTCTCACACCTTGAAATCCACCTTGAAACTGCTTTAAACACCAGCCCTCGGAATGCTCACAGGGCAGAACTTATGGCCGGCACCTGGCACTGGAGCAATACAGGTAAACAGTTGTGGGACAGCACAAAACTCCGACAATAATGCTGATTTCCTGCATTTACCCAACAGCTGTAATGGTGCTCGTCTGTTTCCAGGGAGACACGAGTCCTGAGGGTTCATTCGGTCTGTGGCAAGTGTTTCATTGAGTGTCCATGCCTGGTCCTGCCTGCAGTGGGGCGTTTCCTGCAGTGGGGGTGTTCGGAGCCCAAAGCCACAGGGCTGCTGAGGTTAGGGCAACTTTTGGGCCCAGAGCTGAGCGGAGCCCTCAGTGACTCCCACTCACTGCCAGGAGGGTTCCTTTAGTGTTTCCTCTGCGTGTCCCAGCTGGCCAGGGAATGAGGGGTGGGAGGGGGCCGGGAGCACCAGAAAGTGAACCAGCACTTCTTGTCCTTTGTATTTACAGGGGACAACCTGTGCCCTGCAGTGCCCTGCCCGGGGCATGCAGCGTGCTCCGCAGTGTCCAGAGGTCAGGGAGTCACACACAGAGTGCCAAACAGCCCCTTTCTTTCCATGGCTGTCCTGCACAAGCCTTCCTCCTCATCGTTCCACGGGGGCAGCCCTCGGAGGCCATCGCTTCCCTGTGCGCCCCTCACCCTTCCCGGAGGTCCTGGCTGGCGCAGGAGCCCCCGCTGCCATCTTCTCTGCTGGCACCGGAGGCAGAGCTGTGGCCAGTGCCGGGGCACTACCAGAGCTGAGGCTGCTGCTGTTGGCAGGGGACTGGTGCAGGAAAGCCAACAGCCGTGAAGTCTTCCCAGCCACAGGAACTCTCCAGTGTGGAATGCTGGCACCTCTGGGCTCGGGGCTGGATGGCGGGATGCGCCGCTCAGGCTGCTGTGCTTCCAAAGGCAGCCGGCTTGGAGAGCTGCTCCCGGGCAGGAGCGGAGCCTGGGCGGGCACCGCGGGCGTGGGCACCGTCGGAGCCCTCGGCAGGTTGCCCGGATCCAGTGCTGCATCCCTGTCAGTCCCAGCCCCTCCAGGTGGTGGGAAGCTGCTGCTTCGCCGGCTGCAGGACTCGCAGCACAGCTTGTGGTAGCCAGGGATGGAGCAGTATCGGGCCAGCACTTCCATCTGGCAGAAGATGGATTTGTCTCCCAGGCAGGGCTCGTCTGTAAAACAAATGTCCCGGGGATGGGAACCCAATGATGGGCACTTGGGAAAGAGCACAGACAGCAATTCCCAGTGCCAACCTCCCAGAGCTCCCTCACACACTGGCTATGTCCTACCCACCCCAAATCCCTTCCCTTACAGCCTGAGAGGACATCATCCATCAGCAGCATTAAAGCCAAGGCAATCGTCCCTCCCAGAAATTAAATCCCAAGCAATAGCCCTCGGAGATGCCGGAAAAGAAAAAGTTCGAGTCAGATGAAGTTTTGTTCAGATTAAGTTTGGTGTTTTGCAGGGACTAAATGGAACTGTAGAACTGATGGAGAGCTGTAACAGTGGGTCACACCTGAGGTGCCCTGAAGGCAGGGATTTACATCCCTTTCCTCAAGAAAAAGAATTTCCAGAGGCTCTTCTGGAAGCTTTGAACCAAAATCAGCTTTCTTCAGGGAAAGATTTCCTCCAGGGACTGCCTCACCATGGGCCAGAAATGCATCCAGCCACTGCCTTCTCCTGCTTTAAAATATCAGCTGGAGCCTGAGCTCAGGCGGGGAGAAAATCAGCTCAGTCTCAAGGAACAAATTCTATGGAATATAGACTTGTAATTGTCCTGATCCTGCTGAGCTTCCTCAGAACCCTTGCTGGCTCCTGACAAACCTGGTGCAAAAGCAGCAGCTCTGCATGGGAATAGCCATGCTCCATGAGGCGCTGTGAGGATATTCCAGCCTCAGCATGGAATTCTGGGCTATAGCTACAATTCCTTTTGCCTTACCATAGTGTCAGTGACCCTTATTTGGTCCTGTCCTCTCATGGTTCATTTTGGAGTATCCATTTGTGCTGGTTTAGATTCCACGACTCCACCCACAGTGTGGAGGTTTGGGGTTGTGCTTCTGTACTTCCAGCAGGTTCCATAAGGACCCAAAGCGGATCCCGGCTGTCCGGTCTTGGGGAAAACACCTGTACCAGCCAGGAGCTCTGACTGCTTTTCCTGTCAGCTCCTGAGCAGTGTCAGGGCCACCACGAGGGAGTTAAAACCCCAATAAACCCCAAGTCCTACCACGAGGGAGTTAAAACCCCAATAAACCCCAGATCCTACAGAGTGAATAATCCAAAGGAAGAAATCCATTGTTGTCATAAAAAGCTTCAAAACCTGTTTCAAATTCTATGGAAACAATGTCATGGATTCCCAGGAACCTCATTAATGCTCTTGGTTCCATGTTCATGTATTTGCTTGCAGAACTTACCCTGGGATTTAGAGGTCAAGCAGGGTTTGTTTTGGATTGACCTTCACCTCCGGCCCCAGTTTGTGCCAACACGACTTGGGCCAATGTGGTTAAACCCTGTTTGTGCACATGCACAGGACAGACCCCAGCGTGGGGAGCTGTGACATCCTGAGACTGCTGGACTGAAGGCAAGAGAGAATCTGCACTCTGTGTGTGACCCCTCTGCCAGCACGGCGCTCTCCAGGGAGGAATCATGCCCCCCCCTGCAGCCATTCCTGCCGTTCTCTTACCATCACATGGAGCGAGTTTACAAGCCCTCACGGATTCCGGCCGTTCCCCCTCGCACCGATCCCCAGCGCGGCACAGCACCTGCCGGCTCTCCGTCCCCTCCCCGCAGGTCACCGAGCACTGTCGGACACAGAGGGCACAGGTCAGGGCATCCTGTGTCACAGCCCTTGGCAGAAATTCCCATGTGCCAGCCATGGCTTCTGGGACAGGCTGGTGCTGCCCCCACCCTCCGCTGCCCACCTGGGACCAGGGCCCGGCTTTCCACGGCGCGGGGCACGGCCCCCGGTTGCAGGACCGCCGGCTCTCGGGGCGATCCCCGCTGCAGAACTTGGCGTGGACGGAGCGGTTGGTGCCGTCTGCAAGAGGCTGGATGCAGCGCACCGTGCGGAGCTGGTAGCCAGAATTCCCACATGTTTTGGTGCAGTGTTCCCACTCATCTGCTGCCCAGCTGGGAAGGGAAATGGTTTCAGACACCATTAACTGTTAACCTTTTTGTCCTGCTGTGGCTGCCTCATCCCTGGAGCAAGCTCATCTAGTGGAAAAACTCCCTTCCCATGGCAGGGGGTGGAAAGAGATGAGCTTTAAGGTGCCTCCCAAGCCAATCTATTCCATGATTTTTTATATACATATATATACACATATACACTACAACCACCCAATCAGATTAGTATCCATGCTTACACAGGTAGAAACTCCCCTCCATATGCAGGAACTGCAGGCTGGAAAGCTGTCAGCATGCCCTCAAATTCATCCCACCCGATCTGGCTGTGGCTACCCTGTCTGAAGGAGCAATCCTTGCTCTCCGTGCCCAGCCGCACTCACAGGGGCTCTGTGCACTCCTGCAGGTTGCACATCCTACGGATGGGCTTTGGCTTTTTGCTGCCTTCGCAGAAGCTTCGATGAACCATCTTGTTGTCACTCTTCCTGCGGCACCCGTACTTGGTGTACTGGAACCCTGGGAAACATGTCAGAGGAATCAGAAGAATCAGATCCTTGTTAAAATGTTTGGCTTAAACGGGGTTTTCTGGCCTAGAAAATGGGTTTACAGGACAGGTATTTTGGTATTTGCATTCCCCATTATTTGCTTAAGAGCCATGGACAGGCCATGAGTACAGGGAATGATCAGGAGCATCAATGCCTGAGTTTGGGCATCCAAAGTAGCTTTGGGGTCTGAATTTAAACACCAAAAGAAGCCTTTTTCTTCCTAGGCTGGAAGTGTGACACCTGGGAACAATCATGCACTTCAGGTATTTTAAGCCTGAGCCCTAAAATAACAAACCGCTGTTAAAAAAGGGAAACCAAGAATCTAAATCATTCCCTTCCTCCAGTTTCTTGGCAATTTGTCCCTTGTTACAGGTGCCTCATCCCTGGCTCACCTCCACCGCAGGGTTTGGAGCACTGGGACCAGCTCTTCAAGGCCCACTCAAAGGTGTCCGTGTCCTCCCGCAGCACATTGTTGCTGTGGATGGTCGGCACCGAATCTTCGTGGATGATGTATCTGTAGGTCAGGCTGGATCTGGTGTCATTCTCCCGAGGAATGATCTAGGAATAAGCAAACACAAACCCAGCACTGGTATTGATTCCTCTGCTAAGTACAGACACCAAGGTCTGGCTCTGGGATAGTCCCTAAGGCTGAGCTCAACAGGTCACCCACCAGCACCACCACGGCATCATGCAGGGGCCCGTCCGTGTGCAGCGTTTCCGTGTTGTCCTCGATGCTGTACTCCCACTGCACGCCCAGATCGATGAAGGATCGGGATCTGGCCTCCTCCCCTTTCCCATTCAGGATGTAGTGTCCTGTAGCCTGGTTCTTGATTGCTGGGAGGAGTGAGAGCAGAGCCTGTCGTGCCTCCCCCGCACTGGCAGCAATCGGGGTGGCACGGGGAGGGGTATTTCCATCAGATTATGAAAAAAACAGATTTTCATCACTTTTTACTTTGCTCTGTGCACACAGGTGTGTCCCAGATGCTAAAATCCATAAGTGATGCTAAAATCTGTAAGTGAAGAGCTGAGGAATAGGAGCCCTGTGGAACTGCCTGGGTTTGGGCTTCCACAGCACACCTCAACAGCCAGGTACAGCAGAGACTATGATGATGACCATGCTGATGTCTCAATTAGAAGCCAATTCAGTAAGTGCTGGAATCACAGAATGGTTTGGATTGGAAGGGACCCTAAAGATCATTCAGTTCCAACACCCACTGCTCTTCTGTACAGCTTTTTGCAATGCACTGTAGGAATAATTAAAAGATACCGAATTAGGTTCATCCTGGCAGCTCCCACTTTCATGTGAGTCATCACAATCCTTGGTTAGTACACATGCAAATTTGGGTCAGTTTAATATTTTGGAGAATTCACATGAGGAAATGTTTGTTTGCTGAGCTGTAGGACTGCAGGACTAAGCCCTGAGCAGGCAATTTGGAAAGCCCACATTTCACTCGTACCAAACTTAAGCAGAAAAACACTTACCAAGAAAGTGAGGAGAGGCCTCGTCTTCTTGGATAAACACATGTCGAGCCCCGGGAGGGATATCAAACATCTTAAGGTAGCCTTTGGCATGTGCAGGGTCAGTGGAGGCAGCAGGGAGGGAAAAAGAAAGGAACAGCCATGGTCAGGAGCGCAAGGCACACCCCAGCTGTGCTTGCAGGAGAGGGCATCCAGCAGCCATGGATGAGCAGGGCCAGGAGGCATGGAGCCAATCAGTTTGTAATGGGTGGGACAGGCCCTCCCTGGGCTCTTCTCTTCCAGGGAGAGAAGGGACACCAGTTACAGATGGATTTGCCACTTTCTACCTGGGATCAGTTTAATATTTACGGCCAGGCTGCTCCAAGCAGGATCTATCAACAATTCAGGCACAGAGATGTTTCCTGTGTTCCTCAGCACATGAGAACACAAGCACAAGTCTTTCTCACTACTTTCCCAAATCAGTCCTCAGCCAGGCTGTTGGATTGGAACTTACTGATTGTCTGCAGCGAAAGTAAAAAGTTGTTCCCAAAGAAAAGTGTTCTGAGTTGCAATTTCAGTTATTTACCAGTGCAAATCACAAGTAATTAGAGTAAAATTAAGGAAGCACTGCCATTAGGAAGACTAGAATACCTTCTAGGAATGGGTCACAGATCAAGACTTAATCCAGAGTCCTCTAAGTTCTCTGAGTGCATGGCATTTTCATATTCCTGTTATTTTCTTTTTGACAACTGCAGATTTAATTAAGCAAAATCACTGGATTCTGGGACTACTGGATGTACTGGCACTCTGTCCTGCCCCTGACATACACAGCTCTTGAGAAAATTCAAGTGAAGGAACAGAAGAGTTGGGAACAGGGAAGATCAAAGTCCTGGTTGAGCAATGTCTGTGCCCAACAGCATTTCCAGTCTTTTCCTCCATCACCTTTAGAGCACAGGGAACATCAAGATTTTGCCTGGTTTGGCATTACCTGTCCGTGTCTATAGGAAGATAGGAACTGCCATTCCCATGGATGCCTCTCTCCCTACAAGCCGTTGCACTTACCCAGAATGTTTTGAGCCTTCTTTGTCCCAGAAAGGGAAATACTCTGAGCTCCTCTGGTCTTCCCTTAAACAGAACACCTGGAATTAGTGTCCTGAGAGCCAAGTCTGGTCATTCCACTGACTGGGTGTCACCCAAATGCTCTTTACAAGCAAAAGATATAAATTACATAATAGACAAATCCATTTACAGGAGATTTGAACTCATCTGGGCAAGACAACCACTCCATGGAAGTCAGACAATCTGGGCCAGATTTTAGGTTGAATACTTGCAGAAACTGCTTTCTAGAGACTTGAATTCTTTTTGAGCACCTCTTGCTTACATGTTTCCCTGTAGAAAGAGGTCTATTAGCCTTCTTAATGACCAGGTTACCCAGGCTAGAGAAAATCTATCAGCATTCCCTGAACACCTCCATCACTTCCATATCCATCCACAATCAGGGGCCAATGGACAGCAGTCTGTCCTGAACAGGCTGAGAGATGGGCCTCATGGGATGCTGCTACATCCATTATTCCCAAGGTTTGAATGATTATGGCATTATCTCGTGTCTGTGAGTGTGACACAAACCCCAGAGGCAGCAGGAGTTCCAGCCAGCTGTAGGCAGCTGTTATTCCTACCGAGCTTTTTGGGAGTGCGGGTGTAGGTCCCCTTCACGGTCCGGCAGTGGGAGTCGTCCCCGCCGCAGACCCCGCACTTGTCCTCAGCCTTGCTGGAGCCAATTTCCTTGTCACAGCCCACTTTCTGCAGAAAAAAGGGCAAGATTGGATATTAGGAGGGAATTCTTTCCTGTAACAGTGCTGAGGCCCTGGCACAGGTTGCCAGAGAAGCTGTGGCTGTCCCATCCCTGGAAGTGTTCAAAGCCAGGTTGGATGGGGCTTGTAAGTAAATAGCAGGGGGGTGGAACTGATGGTCTTTGAGGTCCCTTTCAGCCCAAAACCAGTCTGGGATTCTATGATAAGAAACAATGAGTGGAAGACAAGCGGAGCATTTCCCTGGAACAGGTCTGTGCCGTTCTCTCATTTAATTTAAATCTCAAGGAATCAGAGGAATACAGTGCTGCAAATATGGAATTTAGAGACATCTGCAAAGTCTCTCTCTGCCTGTGAGCTGTTCCCATGAGTTATCCCTGGAGCAGGTGCCACTCACCACGCATTCCCCACGGACACAGATGCTGTAGGGATCCCTGTAGGAGCAGCGAGTCCCGTCGTGCACCGGCTGCTTCATATGAGCCACATCCCCCGTTTCTCGGGACTGGCAGTAGAGGTGACATCTCTTGGGAGCTGTGGAGCCAAGGAAAAGAAAGGGATGCATGGAGGATGGTGGTGCAGGTGTGTTCCCCACAACTATCCCATCCATGGAGCGAGGAGTGAGAAGGGACAGGCAGGTTTGGGGGTGAGGATGGGGGCCGAGCAGTGGAATGACATGGTTTGGGAAGGAACGTGTGGATTGTGGGGAATTTTTTGGGGGAAAATTGGGATGTTTGGACAGAAACGTGGGGATTTAGGGCAAAACTAGTGTATTTGAGACACAATGTGGCCATTTGGGGTAAAAAGTATCCATTTTAGGGATAAAAAGGCAATTTGAAGTCCTAAAGGTGAACTGTAGGGCTAAACTGGAGGCCTGGGGGGAAATGGGGGATTTTGGGTGAAAATGGAGGAATTAGGGCAAGAGCTCTGATTTTGAGACATAATTCTGCAACTTCGGAGTAAAAATGTCAACTTTAGGAATAAAGTGGCAAGTTTGGGGGGAAAGTTGGGACTCTGGTGGTAAAAAGGGCAAATTTGGGTCAGAGTAGAGAAAATGCAGGTTAAAATCAGGGATCTAGGGCAAGTTTGCTATTTTTTACATATAATGTGTTAATTTAGGGTCAAAACTGTGAATTTTAGGGATAAATAAGAGAACAATTGATTGATTGGGGCTAAAATGGAAAAATTTGAGTTACAGCAGGGAATTTGGGTATTAAAATCTGGATTTAAGGCAAAACTATTGATTTTCAGAGAAAACGGATAGATGGATGGGGTGGGAACCAACTTATTTGCTTTTCTGGGAGTTCTGGGCCTGTCCCTGAGATATCCAGGCCAAGGGGAATGGCTTCAAACCCTTTCAAGTGTCACTAAAGGCCCAGAGCAGGACGCACGGTCAGGGTGCTCGTAGGGCAGCCAGTGGTGTCGGCTGCCCTGGAACTCGAAGTGGGAATTGCGCTGCTGGCACTGCTGTGCCCTGAAGTCCTCAAAGTGCTTCGGACACTCCTCGGTGCTGCACAGCTGGAACTCAAAATTGACCCCAGCGCAATCGTCGCCTCCATTGATGGGCCTGTGAGAAGAAAACATTCCAGAGATTTTCATCAGGGGGAAGTTGTTCCCTTCGAGGGTGCTGAGGCCCTGGCACAGGCTGCCCAGAGAAGCTGTGGCTGCCCCATCCCTGGAAGTGTCCAAGGGCAAGCTGGACAGGGCTTGGAGTAACCTGGAATAGTGCAAAATGTCGCTGCCCATGGCAGGAGGTAGAATGGGATGGTTGTAAGGTGTCTGCCAACCCAGACCAATCTGGGATTCTGTAACTCTATGGACTTCTTGAATTTTCCAAAAACGATCCCATTTCGAGGGGCCTGAACAGAATGTCCACCCAAAACCCAAATACCATTGCAAGTGGCCCCTCTGAGGACACCCAGGCGGGTGTAACTCCTACACCTACATTGGATTGTTGCACTGGCGCGTGCGGAAGCGAACCCCGGTCCCACAAGTCCGTGAGCAGGAGCCAAACTTGGTCCAGGGTCCCCAGTGTCCATCCTGCTTCAACTGGTTGGTGTTCTTCCACATGCAGTGACCCTTGTAGCACCACTGATGGAATTGGGGCAGGAAACAGGTGAGAACAGACACAATCCCCAAATCAAACTATGAACACTGTACAGCAACATTTTGCCGCTGCCTGGGGCAAATTCAGATTGTACAAGCGAGTCTCATGTATTTCAAAATAAAGGGAATTTTCTAAAAATAAACCCCAGGCACCTGAGTATAATTTTATAATTGAAAATGGACTGGCAGCAGGACACCCACTAATGGGGATATTAAAGGGAAAAACTGGCCGCTAATCCTCAGCCTACACTAACATTTGCCACAGGGTGTCTGGACAGTGAGTTCTGAGCAGCCATCCCACAGTAACAGCATCATCTGCTTCCCTGGATTCCTAAAGGCACTTCACAGAAACTTTGCAGATGAGACAGAACCCAAAAAACATAACAAAGAGGTCACAGAACAGGTTTCACCTCAGCTGGAATCTCTGCCCAAAATGTGCTACAGCAAACCTTGTACAGCTCCCAGAATATCGCAGTGGGAAAGCACAGCTCCCGCTTTCCCCATGTTCTCGCTTCACCCCAGCAATTCCAGGCAATTCCCCGCTCCCCTCTGTGCCCTTCAGCCCAGATGGATCTAACTGTTGGTCTTTTTCCCAAGACAAACAGAGTGCAAAGGCCAGACTCACTTTTCCTGGGGCACACTCGGTGCCATCGAGGGGAGGTCCTTTCTTGGTCTTGCAGAAGTAGGGGTTATCAGGATGGCTGCACCACAGCTGCTTGCACGGATCAAAGGTTCGGAACTGAAAAACAAAAAGAGACCAAATGCAGAACATGAGATTGTTTATACTTTTTGGATAAGCAAATACTTTTGTATTTTTTTTTTACACTTTATTTGTACCTTTTATTTTATTTCTACTTTTTGGAAAAGAACCAACCCACTCCATAGATTCTATCTCACACACCCCAATGAGCCTGGCATCCTCAGGGCAGTTCTTATTCCCTGCATCCCCTGCAGTCCAGGGCTAGTGAAAAGAGGAAAGACACCCAGAAGTGGGACAAAAATGAGATTTTGTTTTCCTTTCCTTTCTTGGGATTGCTCTCACCAGTCTGTGCCATGTGGACCATGCTGCCACTCATTTTCCCATTATTCCACAGGACCCATAGGACTGAGTTTCCCCCATAAATATCCCTCTGCTCTTTACAGATCTCTTTAAATACTCCATTAACTTCTCTCCAATGATTGTGGCACTGAAGAACTCCTGTCAGGCCACAGTCCCTTGCTGTGTGCCTCTGCCTGGGTGTCTGGACGTACTGCTGTGCACATCCTGTAGCCCACGCCGAAGTCAAAACGGCACTGCTCGTCCATGGAATAGTTGATGCCTGGCAGCTCAGGAAGCTTGGGCCAGTCATGCTCAAAGGGGTCATCAAGAAGACAGTCATAAGAGCTATGGGAAGAGACACAGGAAAAAAATACCATGAGAATATGTATACTCCTAATTCCTGCCACATCCCTGGAACTGTCCAAGGCCAGGTTGGCTGGGGCTTCCTTGGAGCAACCTGATCTAGTGGAAGGTGTCCCTGTCTATGGCAGGGGCTTTGTAATGAGATGAGCTTTAATGTCCCTTCCAACCCAAACCAGTCTGGGATTCTGTGACAATCTGAGGCCTATTCCAAATCCCACTGGAGTTAGAGGGGTCATTCCACAGACTTTTCATCCCGAGCAGATGGGCTGTGGAACAGCCCCATGTGAGGACACAGCCTTCATGGGTTGGAGCTTTTCTAACAGAGATTTGAAGGGAAAGAGGGTCTGAAAAAAGAGGGATCAGAGGCTGGCTGCACCAGGAAGGCCTTACTGGATGTATCTCCTGAGCTCCTGGCCACTGCAGCGGGACCAGTGGTAGCGGTGGAAGGCGGCCTGCACCAAGGGGGCCATGACACTGCCCATCGCCGTCTCGTCCCCACATCTGTTCCCTTGCCCATCGTGCTCCATGCCCAGCCTGGAACAAAGAACCCCCCTCAGAGATACTGCAAAAACAACTGTAAGGAAAAAGCTATGGAAGAGGTACCAAATCTGACCCACCAGCACAGGCGGTTGAGGAAAGGGCAGTGAAGGACACTCAAACCAGCTCCTGTCATCACTGCCTGGACCTCCCAGGTCCCTTCCTGACCTTTCCCTCACCCCAGAGAAAACAAGTTCACCCTGCTTCCCCTTCCTTTCTTCCCCCACTTGTCTGTCCATTGCTTCAACCACTACTGCATTCCCAGGGGGCTGGAAATAAAACCAGGACAGCTTCCATAGAGCCATTAAATCCAACACCCTTGGTGCAAGCAGGAGGTGCAGCACAGCATTTTGGTGTGATCTGATGGTAAAAGTGGTACTTACACGTGCCCAGTCTCATGAGCAACAACAAAGGCTGATGAAAACCCGTCCTCATGGTTGAGGGTGCAGCTCCGGACCGGGTGGCACATGCCCGTCACAGGAGCATATCCTACAGAGAGACATCAGGGCTGAGTCTTGTGCTCAGCACATGGATTTTAAATGAGAACCCCCAGTAAACTTCCTCAGGAAAAGCTAACATCACTCTAAGGCCAGGGCAGCCTGCCTGGCTCCTCATCCTGACCAGTGCCAGCTCTGACACATCCCAAACTTTGGGAGTTCCTGCCCATTATCATTAGTTCCCTGAGGCCAGAGGATGGATGCAGGTGTCAGAGTGGCTGGGATGTCTATAAATGGAAATCTGTGATGAAAGATGCAATAAAATAAAGGGGAGTGGAATGCCACGTGCATTGAGGTTCCCAGTGATCCCTGCACACACAGGA